ACGTATATTAAATGAAGGAAAGGTATCGCTTAGAGAGAGTTGCAGAAGTCATATGTTTTCGAGTTACATTGAGCTACGAACGCATTGAAATGTTCCGAAAATGAGGAAAGATGCGAGATAGCATCAGTTGAACGACTCAAGACTCCCAGATGAAAAAATATCGAATTCTAATAGAGTTCCTTGCAACAGTGTAGTTGATTTTTATATAGATCGTTAGCTGAAAGTATCAGAACTGAATAAGTCAAGTCATTTTTGTGACTTGTAAAACCTGTGACTTGCCCAGTTCTGCAAAGTATCCATTCTCTTTAAAATGAAAGGCAGACATGATCTTTATCTTTGATAGTCTATCGTTCGGCAGACATTAATGTTAAGCAAGACGAACAAAGAATATTTGGTGAATAAAACTTATCAAAGAAGCAATGTTAACACCTATGAGCGATTTATTCAGACGAGGATCACAATGAAGGTTTACCGAGCATACTAACAGTCACTTAGTTTCGTATATCATTGAAAATATAAGGCTTGAAACGGATGAAATGTGAACAGTGCGATTGTTGGCATTTCAGCTAAAAAGAGAGGTAAAGGTCGAATAATAAACAAATGGCACCATGAAAATCCTAAATACATGTGTGAACTGACTCAGTCGAGAGAACAGACTGGTATGAACGATTACCACGACCAACTGCAAGTGTTGACATGTATCCGGTCGCAAATTTGATAAATATACTACAAGTTATCTGCCGAGAAGAATCGTTTCATAGAATAGTTTTGAACTGTTTCTCATTTTTGGAGCTCTTATCCATGTTTTTTCGTTTGTTTTTTATTAAAGTTGTTCATTTTCCTCATTCACCAATACCGATGAGTCATCATCTCACTCGAAGATTTTTTTCTCAACAGACAAGTTTTCTCATTAGAACGCGTGAGAACACGTCATGATTTCTTACTCACTGAGCACAAATTATAGTAGCGAGTTTCCGATGATCAATAATCTAACAAATACTTCAGTTCAAACCGACATAGAAGAAATCTCGTTTCTGTCGGGTTATTTGTCTGACACAGACGTCAATCGCTTGTTGATTTCTTATCAATCGAATATTTGAAAATGTGGAAAACTCCAACGTTTCGGAACTTAGAGTGCGTAAAACAGATAAAGCTGCACATATCCCTATATTAGATTGGCCAAAAAGTTCTGCAACACTTGCGAAAAAGTTGATTTTTATGCGCAAATTTTCTTAAAAGCAATAACAACTACTTTGCAAAATAAAGGCCGTCGTTTTCAACAATCCTTTGCCACCGATCTGCAAGCATCCGGATTTGGTTGAAGTACCATTCTGCCGGCTTCGAATCGAAGAACTCCTGGCACGCTTCCTCAACTTGATCAAATGACTCGAATCGGCGACCACGCAAAAAGTGCTCTATTGATCGAAAGAGGCCGTAATCGGAGGGCGCAGCGTCGGGACTGTAGGCTGGGTGCGGCAAGACCTCGACTTCCTCCAGTTCGTCAAATTTCTCCTTTGTTTTCTTGGCGGTGTGGGGTTTAGCGTTGTCTTGCTGGAGCAAAGCGCGTTTGCGACGAACGAAGGGTGGGTACTCCTCCTCCTTCAGCTTGTCATAGACACGGTCCAGTTGTTGGCAGTAGAGTTCGGCGTTCACGACACGGCCATTCGGATCAGTTGAAAGTGAACCATGCCCTCAAAGTTCTACCAGACGCAAATCATCACCTTCTTGCCGAAACGATCTTGGCGCGGAACTGATGGCGGATCCTGACCTCGCGGAACCCACTGCTTCGGCCGGTTGTGATTGATCAAGTAGACCCATTTTTCGTCCTAAGTCACAATACGCTTCCAAAACCGATCATCCAATGGATTTTCCAACAATTGACGGCAGACTTCAACACGACGCTTAGCTTGCGCTTCGGTCAACTCGTGTGGATCCTGACGAGGCTTCTTGTGCACAAAATCCATTCGATGCAGGTGATTGAGCACAGTCTGATTGGGACGAGACTCCAAGAACCGACGCCAATTCACGGCTGCTCGATGCAGGCTCATCTTCCAAGGCTGCCCGCAGATCTTCGTTGTCCAACGTTAATGGCGGGCCGGAACGTGGTTGATCTTCGAGATTAAGGTCACCGGGATCGAATCGTTTGTACCATCGGGAAACAGTTGTGTAGTGGACGGTTCCTTCGCCTTCAGCATCACAAATCTCTTTCGCAGCATCTCTGTTCGAAAGTCGTCGCTTCCAACAATAGCGTATCAAGACTCGAAGCTCGATTTTGTCCAATGTCATCTGAAACTTTGAGGATAAAGATGAACCCGGGACACGATAAACACAAAAACTGTGCATAAAACACACAAAAAATTAACAAAAATGCGCATAGTTAAGTGTCCTCTATAGAATAAGACGTCGTTCAGCTCTCTGTGACTTTTCATTCTAGAGTTATGCGTTTTTTAAGATTCGCCACTGCAGATCCTAATTCATCATTGGTTACTTTGCAAAAATCGTCCACAGGTGTGTTGACAAAATTTTTCAAACACTTATTCAAATACAAAAAAGTGTTTTCTTCGAAATGAGACTTTGCTGAGTTCTGTGCGATATTCTAGTCAAAAAGCTATAAGCATTTTTCTACGAGCACCAAAAACTCTGCTTTTCTTTTCTTCTTTCTTTCGTCTAAATCGATTTTTGCCCCCGTTGCATTGCGTAATTTCAAGGTTTCTCCGCTAACACTTTTTTCCAGATCATAAGAGAGCCCGGTTTTCCATTTGCCTTTTTGTCACTGAGGAAAACAAAAAGTTTCCGAAAGTTATCGTGGTTTTTCTTCATTTCTCGGAGTACGCTTCAACAAATTCAGCTTTCAATTTTGATCCCAGTAATGGACGGTAAAAAATTTTCTTTTACTAGTATATTAGCTCCAATCAATGAGCCTTTATAGTGGAAGTCACATCACTATCGGATGGTTAATCCTTTGCATTCTGAAGTCTAAAACCGTGACCGGTACAAAATAGAATTAGATTTTGTTGTCTTTTTCTCTCTCTCAGTGTCATGCAATGGGCCGAGCCCGATTTGATTACTACTTCTTCTGTATTAAAGTTTGAAGCAGGGTTAGATTTCCAAATTGTTAGTGTCGTTTTTGATCACACTTTGAGACGACAAAAAATTCTTTTTACAAAACTTAACACTCTTCTGTACTAATGACTTTTATATATAGTGATGTTGAAAAACATCTGCTACTGCGAACGGCGTTTGAACTGGCTCTCTAGCATCAATAATAAAAAAGATATATCAAAAACAAAACTCACGGTTTATTTTTCCCCAGCTCGGTAGCTGCTGAGATCATTTTCACGTATTCAGGCTGTCACTGGAAAAAACAAATATTGTATAATGAAAAAATAATAACGAAACACTTTTTATCAATGTTTTGGAAGCACCAAGTATTTTTTAATTACCGCAGAACCAACAATTGTTTTTTTAAACTTCAGTTAACATTTGGATGGTTCATGTCTTCAGCTACTTTTAGGGAAAATATTTTTTTATGAAAGAAATGCACAATCTTCGATCTTTATGTCATGTAAAATATGGCAAAAGTGATCCAGTTTACATCTATTATGGTCACTATTAGGGAAGTTTCTGTTCTCGGTTCCAGAACCGAGAACCGCGGTTCCGGTTCTCGACTTAGAACCGAAACAAAAAGAACCGCGGTTCCGGTTCCCGACTTAGAACAGAACCCCAGTTCTCGGTTCTCAGCTTAGAACCGAAAAAGAATTTTTCAAGCACTAACAATTCAACGAAATAAGATTCATTTATAGTAAACGAAAGGATTCTTTTAAATGATGGCAGGCAAATATATCTTTTTGCAGCTTTGTCAATAGTCTGTTTTCATTTTATTATAAGATAGGCAAGACAAAAAGATAAGGCAGAAGAGAAAAGAACGAATTATTGTTTCGCCCGTCGTTTTTGCACTTCATAAAGAAATACAAATTTGATCGTCCGTTCACAGTTGTTCTTTTTCTTTCAATACTGTACTTTTCTATCGTCGGTTCTTAACAGTTTTTAGACCAACAAACTATTAAGTTAACAGTAGGGATGTAACCGCGGTTCCGGTTCTCGGGTTAGAACCGAACCGAAAAGAACCGAGGTTCCGGTTCTCGACGAAGAACCGAAAACAACAGAACCGCGGTTCCAGTTCCATTCTTAGAACCGGTAGCACGGTTTCGGTTCCCGATGAAGAACCGAAAGCAAGAGAACCGCGGTTCCGATTCCTTCTGCAGAACCGAGAACCGAACATCCCTAGTCACTATATAGCTTTATATGTCACTTTTTTTCTTTAGTCTTCCATTTCGACGTCATTTGGATATCGTGTTGCTAATGAAGAGTCACTCAACTTGAAATACAAATGTCCAGTGTGTACATTCATAATTCGAGATCCATGTCAATTATGCTGCGGTTGTCGATTATGTCACCAGTGTTTTCCAAAAGAGTGAGATGTTAACCTTTGTTTTTTGATAAATTCGATGCTGTTTTCGAACAACAGCACAATTTCTCTTAGTCTTTTGACGAAGACTTTGGGCGCGACTATTGCACAAGCTCTCATGAGCAGCTCTTATTAAAGCACTAAAATATTATTAGAGTGATCTATGGACCATGGTTTTTCTTACTTTATTATCGATAAAAAATATGGGTACGAGCGGAGAGAGATTGAGTGATTTAGAAGTGATTTTCTAGAGTATTTCCATACTGAATTATGATACTAAAAAATTTGCATATTATAGAGATGGTACACTATTCAACTGTCTTGAGTGTTCCGAATCTACATCTAGACAAGACGTAAGTGAGTTTAAGTTGTTACAAATGATAAATTAAACGTTCTTTTCTTTTAGCTAAAGGCTGATAAAGCTTTTAAGCGAGAAATAGATCAGTTACATGTGCAATGCATCGAACATATCAACAATTGCCATTGGAATGGAACAATAAAAGATTACCAGGTAAGAATTCAGGTGTTACCAACTTCTTATAAGTAGTTCTTTTTTTATTGTACTTTGAAGAAGAGTATATCGGCGGTTAATATGCTATATTTATTTAGAATCATTTTGATGAATGTCACTCAACTTATGTTTGCGAATTATGCAGTGAAAAATTCTCCTCAACTTTATCGTTAGAGGAACATAAAACAATATGCCTAAGCTTAACAGTATCATGTCCACTAGTATCGCATGGATGCGCAGATAAGGTACGTTATTTAAATATAAGTATGACCATATTCTCAGATAGAAAAAGGTCCTTGATTATTTTATAGGAAATACTTAATTGACTGAATATTGTATATTTATTCTCTTTGTCTACTATTTAGGTTGTGAGATCACAGTTGGAAACTCATTATTTAACTGCCACACATCAGCAAATCTTAATATTACTCTTACTCAAATTTCAAGATTTAACTCGCTTATGGACAAAAGATACTACTACCACTAGCAATATTGATAACAGATCTCAAGACAGTGATTTAGCGTCTCATGCATCAGTAAACGAGTTGTATAGCGAACTACAAAAGGCTTACGAAACGTCAACCGTTTTGACGAAGGGCACTCACACGCTTATGCTAGATATGGAAAGAATAAGTTCCGAATCCTTGAGAAATAATACTTTAATTCAATCCCTTTATAATGAAATATCGCAGGTAAAGATGTCCATAGCAGAGGGAGACTCTAATTACGCAGCCATTGGAGCAAAACAAGAAACTATACAGCAAGAACTGTCGAGTTTGAAAGAAAAAGTAGATGATATTGAGATGACATCATTTGATGGTACTTTGATTTGGAAAGTAACTGACGTAGCGAACAAAATGGCAGATGCACAGTCCGAAAGACAGACAAGTATATACTCACCAGTGTTCTATTCATCACCAGTTGGATATAAAATGAGAGTTAGACTATATCCTTATGGTGATGGAAACGCGAGACGAACTCATATGTCGTTGTTTTTTGTTTTGGTACGAGGAGAATATGATGCTGTTCTCATATGGCCATTTAGTCGTAAAGTAACCTTTTGTCTTTTTGATCAATCTGGCCAAAATCGACATGTCATTGATTCCTTCAAACCTGATGTAAAGTCGAATAGCTTTAAGAGACCGCAGTCTGAGATGAATATTGCTAGTGGAATACCCAAGTTTTTTCCTCTCCCGATGATTCAACAAGATGGTAACAACTATGTCAAAGATGATACGATGTTTATTAAGGTGGTTGTGGATTTTAATGACATGCCCAAGATGATTTTACCCTACACTCTTGGTCTAAATCCAGGTCTGCCGCCTCATGTTCAGCATTACTTAATCCAGCAAGAAATACAGAAAAGACTGCAGGCTGCGTCTACATCAGCCACTTCTAATGTTGGTACATGTAACTAGTTTCTGAATTGTAAAAAGCTGCTTCGATGGAGCTGGTACAGGCTATTTTTGAAACTGTTAAATAAATATGTTAACTAAGAAACACATGATTTCTTACTCATGATTGCAAGTTATGATACTTGACTTTTAGAACATTTAATAGCACGAGTGTTTTGAGCACACGAGGCGTGTGTACTCGTCACTTTTCCAAGGACGCGTCCGTAAAGCAAAGCACAATAACTATCACAGGGTCAACAGGATCTATCCCAAAGTTTCTATTAGTGGGCAATGGCTAGACTATGTGCTGAACAGTGTGTTTCTAACTTTCTATCTGTCGAACAAGACATCATAATTCTATTGCGAAGTAAAGAGATGAGGCACATGTAGGTGTTTGTATTTTTACTATCAAAGCTTCAGAATCAATATTAGGGGATACTATTCGCTCAGTGCATTTGTTAGTTTGTGCAGATGGTTTAGCTCACAGATCCAGGCGGTTCCAGACGAAAAAGAACTATTAATATACACCATGCATAGGTGTCTTACTATGAGCATAAGTGTGTTAAATCTGATGTTTGTAGACGAGTAGAGTTTCTATTGCTCAATCTGATTCTTCGTTTTTTTGTTCTTTGTCTTGTTATTGTACATCTAGTATGTTTTCTTCGTACTTGTGCTTATCTGTACTTTGATAATCATTCAATTGAATCCGAAATGTCGGTATCAAATAAATTTCGACTAGCCGCTGTTAAAATTTTATGTTTATTTAGCTTATTGGCTCTAAATAAGAATAATTCATTTTAATAAATCTGTTGTCGTTAGGAATCTGAAAGCAACAAACATATTGTATCACTCATATCTCGCGCTGATTTTTTTTCCGCTTGGTTCTTCACAGCCTGCTACACTGGCAGAAGATTGTATGACACATATTCGGATTCAGCTTAACGAACTAATCACGAATTACACCTTCCGAGCCTCTAAAAGCCAAGAAAAACTCAAATTACTGAGACGATCTTAAAAAGAAAAAAACCGTCCTCTACGATGAAATTGACTTTTTGAGGTTATATTGCAAGATAAAAGGTTTGAACTATATTCTTCTGAATCAGCATTGAAAACTCATTTAGAAAAAGGTTTTCAGAGATAAACACTCGTCCGTCATGGACATCCGAAACAACGGCTGTCAACTGGGTATGACTCATTTTGTAGACATATCTAGTTTTTTGGGTGAAGATATACCGGTGATTCACACACTATCACATCGGCCAACATGCCAGCTTTAAAAGTATGACGAGCTTTTTTTAAAATTTTGTTTCGTTGCTGGGAAAATTCAGTTTTCCTAAATCAGAGACGAAAAGCTCGGAATTTTGCCTGTAGTTCTCAATTTTCTTGATCAGAATTCACCTTTCATCCAATGACAATGTCATATTCGGAATCAGAATCAAAAGCTGCGTCGATTGATATGTATCTCTATTCTATTCGATAGCTTTGAAAAATTCGAATTTTGCACACATAAAATTTGTGTGCAATTTAATATAATTGAAAAACATTTTTGTAAAATCATTTTACACAAAAAGCGAGCTTTCGATACTTCACAGTATCATCATCAGGTTAATAAGACTGTGAATTTAGAAGAGAGATGCATATATATACTA